TTTTATGATCCATAAAAAATTCTGAAGTGATTTTCTTGTGTTTATCTTATCCTTAGCAAGTAGCGTTGACCTTTAAGTTTTTACTTCACTGTCAAAGTATGTTGAAAGCTTTAAAAGTGAAGCTATCACCTTGGGGATTTGTAAGGATGACTGACACTTACCACTTCACCTCTGCCGCAGCAGCACCGAGCGTACACAGCAACCTTGTACCTCAGGGGAAGCTGCTTGATTTTTTTCACTTCTGCTTCAGTGGAAATGGATTGAATTTTCTCTTCAGAGCACAGTTTTGGTTGCATTAGATTTTAATCAAGTCACTTGTTCACAGTCCCTCCAAGCCTACAAGACTGAGATGAGTAGATGGGCCTGGGGTGAATGTGCTACAAGGTTTGTCAAACTGTGAAACTCCAGGATCGGAGATGCCACATGGTGTAGTTGACAATACTCAAAGTGTTCAGAGGTTGCAGCATTACATAAGCTTCCCATCTCTTTAACACTGGGATTAAGAGCGAGAATACTTGGGAAGCGTTTAGTCATAAAATAACTTGTGAGCACATAAGGGAGGAAATACGGCTTTGCATAAAGTGGTACTGCTGCTTTTCTTCCCTGAAGGTAGGGTTGGCCAGTTAGTAGTCTGATATGCCATGGTGTGGCTTTGCTGCTCAGAACTGTTGGTTTGAATTGGAAGCCCCTGCAAGGGGAGAGGTGATTCACCTGGTAAAGAGACCTGTGCAGGATGGAGCTGCAGCACTGAGCCTCTCCAGCCCCTATCAACCTTTTCGTAGTATACAGTGTTACTTTGCTCACAGTTTTGTTTGTTTTCTTTTATTAAATGCATTGTGTGTGAAAGCAGAGTAGTGTTATTTATGTATCTGATTGCAATATTTAGATACATGAATTGGTTGGAATGGCCTTCAGAAGTAATTGTAATACACAGACTCTAATAAACTGTAGATGATGAGCATTTGCTTATTTCGTACTGTTATGTTAAATCTGTTTGTACTTGGAATGCCTGGAGCATTTGAAGATAATATCCTACTGCAATACTTTTCATCTAAAATAATGGGCTAATAAGTTGAGGTGCTGTGTTTAGATAGGTGAGTCTTGTGCCTCGCCTGTGTCTGTGTACGTGCATTATTTAGTCTTAAATCTCTCAGATGTTGTTACTACTTTCGAAGCAAGGAAGGAAGTTAAAAGCTGTGCCATTTAATGCTTCTTCCATTTAAGAGTTTTCACATGTAAAAGAAAAAAAAAAGTTTTCATGTCTTTTACTTTCCTGCACTTGCATGATTTTTATGATTCCTTGGCATTCATCAGGAGGAAAGTAGGTGGCAAGCATATTCTTGGAGAATCCTGATTATTGCTATTTCAGGTGGGGGAGAGATGCATGAGGTTTTTAAGAGGGTAGATTTGCTTAAAAACCATTTTTATGTCTTTTTAGGGGACAAGGGGTGAAAGTGGGGAATGAGGTGATCACCTGAATTTTTGTTGGTTTTCAGGAGGCAGGGAATTAGATGTTAACCTTAAATGCGTGTTGTGAAGTTCACTGCATGACACAGACAGTAGTCTTCATTTCCGTTGCTGTTTGTCCTGTGATAAAGAAGCTACTGAAATGCCAGAAAATATTCATACTCCTTTTCTGTTTTTCATTTCCATGCAGGAGAACGCTGAGGAGATTTGGGCATGAGTTTCCAAGTGTGTCTTTGTATCCCTGCCTATGTGTGTGTGTTTGTATTCATACAGCTCTCAGGTTATTTGCCTTTGTCCTTCCGGCAGTTATACTGCATTATACTCCTTAGCCTAGTACAGCACTGCTGGGTGCTGACCTAAGGGCAGACGTTGGTAAGGAGCAGAATTCTGTTTGCAGAAATGAAAGAACTCAATTCTAAGGAAAGAAAAAATGCCTCTTCTGGTTTTGTGTTTTTTCCACTGATTTTTTTTTTTTGTCTTGTTTAAGCAACCAGCTCATAATAGATAACTATTTTTATATCTTGCTGTTAGGTACAGCCACGTTGTGTTAATTTTGAATACATCTGGGTCAGGCAGGCATACTGCTGAAAGGCTGCAGGCTTCTGCAGGTACACGTGCATGTTATTTTGGGGGTCAGAAACAATCTCTACTCTTCTGAGGTTCGTGTCATAGGCTGACAAATACAGTCCATATTAACTACAGTATAAACCTACTTTGTTACTTATTTACATATCATTTGAATTAACCTGGGTTTCTTCAGGTGTGTACTTGTTGTTTATCCTCTTTTCCTGAGTTGTCAACACTTCAAAATGCGGTATAATGAGAATTGTAGAATATTTAATGCAGTTGTTGGGGAAAAAAAGCAAACTTGTTTTACTGAGTTGGATTAAAAAAAAAACATTCAAAAATTCTTTAGAGTGGTAGTAGAAACGGCCTCCAAAGATTTTTCCAAGTCTTAAATAGGAAAGTTTGTTCATGGCATTTACTTTTTGCTGCTATTTCTCAGTTGATATTCTGTAGTGAAAGATGTCGAACTAATTAAGCATTAAAAGAACGAGCGGTTAGCAGGTATAATGCTGTTAGACTTCAGTAAATGTGAATGTGACCGTGACCTCCCAGATAGATCAAAGCCTAATCTGTCTGACAGCTACAAGATGGCAGAGCTTGCCACGGGCCTTCTGCTGCTGCCTGCTGAAGCTATTTGTCTGTAAAGCATGCCTGATAGCTAAGAGTATATTTTTAAGGATGAACAGGTAAAAGTAAAAGGCTGTCTTCTGACATTTTAACTAATCCCTTCTAGCCTGTGGTTTACTACGCATTTAGGATATTTGCTAGCAGGAGAGACTGGCTTTTTCACATATGCAACATGTCATTTTGAATCGGGCGTTGATTTGATGTTTGGTAATGTAAGAGTTATACAATGAAATAGATTCTGATTGCATTAAAATGACATGCCCTGGCCTTTTACCTTTCGTAGACTTATAATGAAAACTGAACTCTCAGCAACGTAAGTTGTCATCTCATGCTGAGACATGATCGTCAAAGTGAGAAAACCCAGTGTTTATTTTCTGTTAACCCTTTATTCAATAAGATAGAAAAGACCAACGCAAATAGTGACTTATTTTTTTATAATTTGAAAAACAAAATGCCATTATTGATGGGCATTACAAGTTGTATACATTTCCATAATGCTGACATGCATTGGCTTGTAGTATCAGTGTATTTTATTTACAGGATAATACGTTGTGATGGAGATGATCTGGCTGTACTGCCTTCTCCTGTTACCATTTGCCATTGGTTAGGCTTTTAAAAACTTGAGTGAAATTCTCCAACCTCACTTCCAATGTTGAGGAGTACCCTGTTGTTCCTCCAGGTAGCACCTACATATGTGGAAATGCTCAGTTATGCTTTGGTTCCTTCTTAAAGAATGGTATTAATGCTCCTATGCTGCTCGGAAGAAATCATCTTCTGTTTTGAAAATTACAAAGGAGACCTCAGATGCCAGTCAATAAATTCAGGGTGACTGGAACAAATATTAAATCTGTGAAATCAAACTGAATTTATTTTCTGGCTGTAAAGATTGAATTTGTAAATTTGACAGGCAATTTAAAGGGCATAAGTACATAAAATAAAATTTCTTACCCAAATCCAACTTGAAAGTTACCTGTCAGAAGAGGTTAGAAGTCTGCTGTTTTCTCTCCTGAAGCGTGTCCTTTCACTTGTCAGTTTAGAAAGGTTAATACTGTACAAAAGAGCAAAGGAAGGACCCTTGTTGGTGTAGTTTTGTTTGTTTAAAAATAAAAACCTCAACAAACGCAACCATCAGCTCCCCCACAGTCAGGAGAAATTCTTTTGCTGTATGTTATTATAACTGTGCATAATGTTAGTTCAACCAATTCTTGCTCCGGTTCAGGTCAGGCAGTTCACGCGCAGTTGCCCAGATGGTCAGAAAAGGGAATCGAGGAATTTATTTTGCAGTTGTTGTCAGAGCTGCCTTTGGAGCAGTGGGAGAGGCCGCTTCTTCTGCTATTTCCCAGCCTGAAATACTGGGCAGCTTAATACTGCATCATACAGCAAAAGGCAGTGGGCAGCAGGAGCTCGCTCTGAGGGTACTGTTGCAGCTTGAGCCAATTACGTGGCCCCTCTGTTTTTGCTTCAAATTGTGCTGTTACAGTGTATTTTTCTGCACTTCAAACATGCCTTCAAAGATTGAGTAAATATTAGAACCCTCTACGTCTGCCTGGTATGATCTGTGAGTAAAAGGGGTATTGATGGTCGTCCCGATGAGCGTGGTGGAATTCATTCTTTTGTGGCTAGAGCAGCTTGCTGCCTGCTGGGTACTGATGCTGGGTAATAAGGCAGTGTCCTGGCACGCACTCTGGTTAATAATTGAAGTACAGCTACTGGCAACCAACATTCAGGGGGTTCTGCACCAAAATAGGTTATAGAGCTGCTGTCTTCTGGAGCTTCCAGCATTTCCTTTTGGCACACCAGAGGAATTCCCAACTTCATAACCCGCTGATTGCAAACTTGAGCCTTGTAGTTAAGGGACTCTCTTGGCCAAAGATATGAGACCTTTCAAATGTTTTATGGTTAGAAATGTTCTGTGTATTAAGTCATTGTTGTTAAAACGCTCCTGAAGTGTTTATGTAATGCAGGTGCAGTCTTCTGTGTTGTGAAATTTGTACTGAATGTTTTCAAATTCCGATTGCTGCATAGCAGATCTGATGATATGTTTCCAGTTTATTGTACTTGGTCCATTTAAATTGCAGGTATGAATCAGTTGCATATTTTGACTTTGGCAGCTTGGAACATTGAAGCCTTTGCTGCATCACTATTGTGGATAAATGATAACTGTAGACAAAACTTGGAAGACTTTCTATCAATGTTGTTTCTGTTCTGTTTTATCTAAGAAACTCTTTTTTACCTTATAATATCCACTGATTAAATCAGGCTCTGATTCTTTTTCCATTTTAAAATATTTTCTTTTTAAGAGCATAATCGCAAACAATATTTTGTGATTTCTTTTTTAGGTTGAATTAAAGAGGAAGTATAATGATCAGCATAAAACTACAAGAGGCCTTTTATCAGGGAGCCAGTGGTATGAAATCCAGGCTTACAGGGCTCTGAATCAGGCCCTGGGAAGGTGAGGTAAACCTAGTGTGATTAAGAACATGCATATTTGTAGAACTTTTTGTATGTGACATCTTCAATGACTGATTCCTCGTTATTAACACGGGGTAAATCAGACCAGAAAACTGATACTGCATAAATCAGGTATTCAGCTGCTCTGTACTGGCAGCTGTCTGCTGGTTGTTGTGCATTTGAGCACTGTTAAGAGTTCAGAATTTTCATTTTTCATCCTGCAAAGTTAGGCTGCAGGTTCATTTGTTGTTACTCCAGATACAGAAAGGAAAGCATCTGTAGAGGAGGAATAATTACTGAGCTTACAAATCAAATGAAAAAATCTTAGGTCTTTTCTAATGTGCCAATTATACTCTTGGTGAGCTTAGAAATTTTTTTTTTATGTTTATCCTACAGTATTTTTGAAAGGGATAAATATTTGTTTTGTTCTGTTTTTTGCAGGCCTTTGCTAAAGGTCAATTCAGTTATCATGCTTGCTGATCTCTTTCCAGATTTAGAAGTGGTATAGCTTACTTTCTGAAATGAAATAATTCACTCAAATTTTATTAACAGAACAGAATTAGTTCATCCTTCCCCAACAGAGTTTACTGTATGCAGATAGCTACTGTATAGCTATCTATCAGCTGCATTTAATGTAGATGCTGTACGTGTATGTATATTATAGGTCTGTATGATAGAGGCACAGACAACATACAGTGATATGAATGGAGGTTTAGGAACAAACTTGAGACAATATAGTCTAAGTAAATAAAATCTCATTGTAAATTCTTGTTGCTTTAGATCGTACATTCTTGAGTTCCTCTTAGTTATAATTAGCTAAGAAAAAAGCTAATAGAAGTGGTGCAGTGCTAGCAGTAAGAAATTGATTTGAAGCTTTGTCACTGTAAAATAAATTTTAACTTGATTCTAGCTTTAGTGAAATTGCTTGTTGTATCATTTGTCATGTGAATGAACTTGTGCTAGTCGAAATTTGACAGGGGGAAATAGGCTTCCATTCTGAAACAAACATGTAAATGGTGTGCATTATTGTTGGACTAAGTCCTTACTGGCTGAGGTTTGGTAAAGAATGATGGCAAATGATGACAGTTCTTATAAGAACAGAACAGCCTACTAAGTTATTATAAAGTATAGCTTCTTGGGGCAGACACAGGAAGTAGTTGCTGTAGGTACACAAACAGTAGTTGCTGTAGATGCCTGCAGGGATGGAAGTGAGCAGAAGTGTGCTAGTCCTCAGTCTGGCACTTCTCTCTTAATTCAGTGCTCTTACAGTATATGAAGTAACACGAGTCTTTGAAATGAAACAGCAGCCTTTGGGAATTGAACAGATGGTGTGTATGGCCAGGTGACACCATGCAATGAATTCCTTGCAGTGCTGCTTCTCCTACAAGTGCAGGATGTCTCTCCAGCGTGTGTCATTCATCTAAACTATGAGTCAACCCTTAAAAATGAGAAGTGGGAAGAAGCCTGTTTCTGAATAAAGCTCTTCTCATTGTGGAGACATCTCAAATGTGAACAATTATCGTTTCTTCGGTGTCGCCACTTTAAGCCCTGACTGATACACTTGTGTTTTCGTGTACGTTTGCAAATGTCTTCAAAAATTGTCCACTTCTTAAGCAATGGGGGTAATAATCCTGAACTATCACTGACAGATTGTTTTCCATATTTCACTCATGTTATTACTGGGAGGCAGTATGGAAATCCAAATAATGTTAAAAATGTCAATGCGTGAGAAGTGAATACTGGAACATTTTTGGAGGTCTATAAAACCTCAGCTACAAACTAAACAGTATCACCCACAGCTTTGATCTGCACCTCTATACATTGCTTTATGAAAATGCCTAGGTCATTTTAAAAAACCCCACATGCTTGCCATTGCATTGGAGTTAATTTTTTCTCCTTTTTTCTTATGTTTTCTCCTTTCAGTATTTAATTTGTCCAGTTAAGAGTAGAAAACAAATATATGGTTTGATTAGATGCTGAATATTTGTTTGGTTTTAATTTGTTTCCACGTAGTAATGGAAATGAAGGAAAATTAAGCTTCTGTGATACACTCTGATAGTACCATTCATGCATCCAGAATGAACATTATTTGCTGCAAGGGAGGAGGGAGATGCTCTGTATATTTTTGCATATCCCAGCAGGCTGCCTCTTTACTATTTCTCCTGTCTGATCCCCACAGTTTTTTACTATATGGCCTCTAGTTATACAGACATTCTTTTTTTCATTGCTGTAGGTGTATAAGGCATAGGAGTGATTGGGGTGCCCTTATCTTAGTTGATGACCGCTTCCGGAATAACCCTAACAAGTACATAACTGGTAAGCTGTTTAAAATGATAAAATAAATAAATCTTTTTGGGAAAGTTCCTATTAATAAATGAAGATTACAGAAATATGATTGTAGTAGGTAACAAAGCATATCCATGAAACTAAAAATCTGCAGTTGAAAAGAAATTGCTTAGGAGACAATGCACTGTGTGTCTTTATTCCTGATCGGTTTGGAAAAGATCTGTGAAGGAGTCAACAGATAATGTTGCTGTCTAGTCAGCAGGTGGAGCTCAGCTGCCATGGTACAAGTCAAACCATTTTCTGACATGTCTTTTGCACAACAAATGCATTCAAATTATATCCCTTCTGCTTCCTGAGATACATTTGTATCTGTTCTGCTGTTTGAGAGCTGTAAAAATGATTGCTGTGTGAAAGCATATTGCATTTTATTTTTTTGCAATTGACAGTTGTGGTTATTTCTGAATATCTTGCTTAATCTGAAATAAAGCTTTGATTTACTTAAATTCTAGTTTTTGTCATAACTTTTTAGTACAGTCATAATTATCTATACTCTAAGTTTCTTTTTAATAATTCTCAATAACAAGAAAAATGAATACCCAGGCATGAAAGCAGTGCATATATAATAATAATAAAACTGGGTATACATAATGTAGTTTTGTTGTAATGCTTCTTTTTTTCCTCCCCCATTAGGATTATCTAAATGGATTCGTCAACAAGTCCAGCATCATGAAAATTTTGGTAGTGCACTTGAATCCTTACATGCATTTGCTGAAAGAAACCAGAAAGGCATTGATTTTTCGTCACAGGGTAGCAATGAATTTTCCCATGTACCTTTAAATTCAAAAGAGCTGTCATCAGCTTCTCAACAGGAGGCAACTATTCACCTGTCACCAGATGTTCCTGTTAAAACTGAGGAGCAAAGTTTGGTCCCAGGAACTCATTTCACTACAGCCATCGACTCAATTAATCCCGAACCATCAAATCAGCCAAGTAATATCACAGCAATAATGCAGCAAAGTATGTTCATTTCCTGTGGGGGGGGGAAAGGGCTTCATTAACAATTTCAAGTGTTCACTCATATCTCTCTTGGAAGAAACAAATATATTTTTTTTAAGTATTGAAATGCTATGATTATATAATAATATAATATAATAAATAATATAATAAATAATTATTCACGTATGTATATGAGCTGTGCTCAGCATACTGCAGTTGCTCTTAAAACAACTGATAATGTTTGAAAGGTTTGCAGTGCAATCAAAATTATTTTCACTTAAATTGATTTTGTCATTGGAAAAATATGAAGATAATTTAAAATAGGCTTGAAACATGATTTTGAACATTATTGCAAGGTTTAATTATTGCTTTGATTCAAACTGTATCTGCTGTTTAGATACAGTGAGACTCCCTGTGTACAATCAATTCCTATGAAAGCTTTACAAGCAACTATCCCTTCCTCAATTTTAGAAAAGCTTGTCATTTCACTTCTAGTAAGATAGATGTAAATCATGTAAGAGAATAAAGAGTAAAAAAGACAGGTTTTGAAATCCAGTTGTACATATGCTCTCACTTTACATGGGCCAGTTAATCTATTGATTTCATTAAGACAATTCATGTGCAAAGATAGTTGTAACATCTGGGCTTTTGTTTGTATTGGATCTTAATGAGCATTATAAAATATCTGCAAACCTAATAAAACAGTGGTAATTTTGATGTGCTAAACATGCTGTAAATCAGCAGGGGGAAGGCATATACAATTAATTAATGTGTTGTGATTTTTCACAGGTGGCCAGAAAGTTGATGTGGAGAGTCATTCTCACAATGCAACACAAAGAAGAAAACATATGGACTCCAAACCCAGAAGGCCTGCAACTAAAACAGAGAGAGAAAAAAAGAGTGATCGGACTAATTCTGATTTTATGAAAGAGCTCTGCTGCTTTAAACCACTGACTTCAACACCTTTGCCTGTAGCCACGAACTGCGTGTCCACAGCAAGCAGCAAACAAAGAAAGAATGTGAACAGTGCTAGTGAACTTATTGGTGGTGTAAATCAGTGCCAGTCATCCTTCACTTTAGAACATAAACGAAGTATACCAGAGTCACATTTGGAAACAACTGATTTTTCAGTCAAAAATACAGAGGCTCCAGTTGCTGAGGAGCATCTTGATGAGCAAAAGCTTCACATTGAGCCCAGTAGTGAGCTTCCTTCAGTAGGAGGGAAGCCTGAGCTTTCAGTGTTAGACATGTCTGCAGAAGCTGAGGATGAGAGCCTTTACTTCACTCCAGAGCTCTATGATGATGCAGAATCTGAGGAACAAGAAATGAGACCACTAGATCCAGATGAGAATCAGATTGAATGTGGAAAACCCACAGTAGCTGATGATCTTTTTGTAATCAATACCTCAAAAACACTAAGTGAGCCAAAAGCAATTACTAATGATGATGTCAGAAACACAGGTTTACTTGGAACAATGCTGAATGATATCAGTAAGAATAGTGCAGTTAATATTGAAAAGATGACTAATGGAAAAGAAGCAGAACAGGTAGAATCTCAAGAGGTGGACACCAAAAAACGGAAAATCAGTCTTTCCAGATCAAGAAATAAAGGTGTGTCACTTTTTTTACTGGACAATACTAGCACATAGTGACAGCTTCCATAGGAAATGTGATGAGCAGTCTTTACAACATAGCCTTACTGGAGAGCAACGATTGCTTTCCAATTCACATTCTATTTCACATGCTGTTATCAGGTTCAATATATCATGTTGTTTTTGTTTTTCACTGTGCAAATTATGCACCCTTCAGTTATCTGCAGATATAAAATTCTTCACCCTAATTGTATGACCAGAGGACAGGTATCATGTGTGAAAATTCTCTTGCTTGTACGGCGAGGAGGTCTGAGTCTTACAGGTTTTATTAGTCTGCTATTAAACACAAGCAGTTGAGTTTACATCAGAAAGCAAAAAATCCATATAAAATTAGGGTTTTCTGCATTTGTTAGGGTTTTTTTAATTCAAAATGTGTAACAGCAGCTTTGCAGATCAAGTAATACTGTAGCTTGAGAATGGATACTGAAATAGATGTATGTTCTTCAGAACTCTCTTCCCTCACATTTCTTTTGTTAAAATGAGTGTGTTAAAACAGAGGCTGTGCAATAGTAGTATTTGCACACTTGGATATTTGATGATGATAGACTTCTGAGTTAATCTTTTTTTGTTTTATATGAAAGTTGAGGTTTCTTTAAAATTTCCTTTTGGGGGGTAATAACCTTTGGGGGTCAGATTTTGTATGTACTCATCAAAATGAGGACTCATTTGCCCTTCATGCACAGTTTCTATGCCATATGTAACAATGTAAATTTGTACATAACTAACTTTAAATCTGCCTCAGTCTGCTTTTTTTTTTTTTTTTTAATCATTTAAAAACTTCTTTGATTTACTGCAGTCAAAACACCAACCAAGATTTTGCTGTAATAAAATGTCAGGCATGATTTTCAAGAAAAGATTGTTTGTTTCTATCGTGTATTAATATGCAGATGCAAGGTTTTTACAGCTGCTTTATGGCCATTTGTATGTTCTGAGTGACAGCTGAGTAAAATTTTACTGATCATTTTCTACAGAATTTTATCTAAATAGCATTCTGATGTCCACCTCTACATAACTGTGAATGTGTTCATGTCAAAAGTGATTTAAATTCTCTTTATGTAATAAATACAACTTTATAAAATTAGGTCCAAGGATGGAAAGAATATTGTTCAGTTTCTGTAACCAGTATTACTATGCAGTGTTTACCATTTGGTTAAGCATTTTCTTTTACTGGTGCTGTGTAAGCATCACGTTTAGGTTTATGGAATTCCCATAGTCATCAGGTAATGATGGTAACTATGTTCATGCTCCCACTTGATAGGGTAGAAGCAAGCTCTAATGTTGGGAGCCATTTAAACATAGAACTTATTTAAAGAGAAGCGTAGCTACTTCAGATTAAAATTTAAGTAATTGATCGAAGGTTGCAGTTCTCTGTGGGACTGGCTTCTGGAAAGAACTGTCCCATAGGAAATGGTGGAGAGGAGGAAGAAGAGGAAAGGGGGAGTTTCTTTTGGTGTAAAAGCCGTGTAAATTCTATCTTTGATCCTTCTAACTAGTTCTAACATTCAGTATCTCAGTGGGTAAGAATATTTGGTTTTTTTTGTTAAAAAATGTATGGCAATTTAGAATATTATGTTAAATACTGCCAGTCTGCAAGTGGAAGGGAAGCAAAATCAATGAACCAGCTTTCCTAGAGTTGCTTGATTTCCCAAATGTAGAAAAGCAAAATTACTGAAAATTCTTCATATATGTATTAGTTTGACGTGATCTCTTATGTCTAATCATAATATCTTGACTTTATTAAAGGATTGAAAGTTCAGAGACAGTACAGAAGACGAAAATCTACTGTTAGGGCAAGAGGCAACACCTGTGAAAAAAAGGTACCCTGTAGATAACTATCACTGTTGAAGTGATTATTGTTGAATGTTAAGCTGCAGGGGAAATACAGTCTGTTATATGATCTTTTAAATGATCCATGGATAAACACACAGCAACAGTGTGTGTGTAGTCTGTATGGTTTGCTCTAGGTCTTTACAATCAATAGAAACCCTTGTTTTCCATGTGAAACAAAAAGGCCAAGTGTTACCAAGTCCTGTTAGCATAGATGAAAGCCACAGCTATTGCCAGCATGTAGACTCATCTCATAACCCGTTGTAGATGGGATTCCTGCCTCAGTATAAGCCATGATTCCAATTTCTCAAAAGTAATTTTTAGGGCAGGATTGATGGTTGGACTTACTGATGTTAGAGGTCTTTTCCAACCTTAGTGATTCTATGATTTGCAGTATAAGAACATAACCATACTGAAACAGAGTTGTCGGCCATTTTTCAAGATTCCTCTGCAGAATTCTAGTCTAAATCTCTGACAGTCTGCAGCATTATTGGCTGTAAAATATTTTATACAAAGCCATTTCTATTTAGGTTAGGTTAAATGATTTTAGCATTTACTACATTATGAGTTAATATAAATGATAAACGTGGAGTTGAATAAATTGGAGCGTTTCGTATCTCAAGTAGATTTGATACATTTATTAATGTTTATATTTAAAGTCCTTGAATGTACATAGATGCACAGCTAGTATATGCAAAGGACTATTCACATTAACTCGTATATTGGCTTATTAGAAGGAAAACCAACAACAGCCTTGCAAGAGAGGACTTTATTGTATTATCTGCGGAGCAGAAATACTACCAAAAGCAGAAGGTAAGACCTATGAAACTGATCATTTGTTTCAGGTTGGGAACTGTAGGATTCTTCACCCTTTTACTTTCACAATGTTGGATACTGAGGGGGTATTTTAGAATAATTGGTTAATTTCTCGACTGGAAATTCTAGGTGGTATTTCAGTGAAAATAAATTACTCTTATTGTAGTTTTCCAGACAGATTTGTCTTGCTTGGTAAGTCATGATTGTTCCAGATATATTGATTTATCTTGAAATACAATGGTAATCTGAGTGGCATTGAAGAGTTAACTGAAGGCAACTTGTCCTGGCATTATGGAAGGCTGAAAGAGATTATTTGTAACACAGTCGCCCATTCACTGGGGTGTGTTGCTTCTCAGGATTAAGTGTTAATTTGCTACCAGTTGGTAGTGTCTTGGCACAGTAACTCTAGGGAGCTAATACAAGTTGTAATGAGGCCATTGAGTGTTCTACTGACAAACTGGAACTGTAGGATTACATTGCTGTTCTTCACTATGTAACCTACATCATATTAGTTCAGCTTGATTTTACGCCTTCCACTGGTACATTTTAAGAAACATTAACTAGATGTGTTCTAAAGTTGCCTCTACTATTTTTGTGATGTCCTTCACTCTGGGAAAGTCTAAAAGCTGATGTTAGTAATAACTCTTCTACTTCTTAAGAACGCCCTGTATTTTCAGTCTATTAGGCCATATGTGGTAATGGTCTAATTAGAGTGTGTTGTCATCAGTTACATGCAGAAACAATTAGAAATAGGTGCGTAACGCATTTGATATATGAAATCATTGTATGCCAGGAGAATGTAGGAATCTTTTTATGATAGTTGATAGTTGTGGGTTTAACTGGTCCCAGTTTTACAAACCAAAAGGTAAGAAGACTTTGTATGCACTGAAGTACATCTCTGGAGCTTGAAAGAAAGCCAGAATACTGGATTTTTGGATGGTGCTAGAAATGATAAGAAGATTGAGATGGAGACATGAGCAGAGACCTATTTCTTACCCAGAGTTATGCTTACAGCAACCACTATGATGTGGGATAGTCCCACAGCATCCCTTCTTAATGGCCCCAGAAGCTCATTAAGTAATGAAACAGTTACAGAACTGGCATCAAAGAAGAGATAGTAGCAAGAAGAAAAGCTCTTGATGCAATCCTATGTGTTAAATAAAATCACTTAGAGCTGCTGAGGTACTTTAATGCTAACAGTTACCATGGTGTCCATTGTCGCTAAGAAGTTTAATGCTGTTTAAATTGAATTTCAAGTGTCGGTTGATGAGAATTTTAAAACATAATAATCTGACATAGCTTGAAGAAAATTTTAAATATGTGACTTTATCCAAAATGAATTCAAACTCCTTAGTCAATTTGGGAGTTATAGCAAAAGGAAAACTATCTGCTGAAAAGCAAATTTTGGATGGATTAAAAAAATAAAATTAAATAAGGCCTTCTTCCAAGGTCCATTTACATTAATAGAAGTCTTTTCACTGACTTAAGGCAGTATTGGATCAGGGCCTAAGTTACCATCTTGTGAATGTGGAAAGTTTGCAGTATGTTTGAACAGTGCTGCATTCAAAACCATGTGTATATGTAAGTCTTATACCCTACTTTCTAAATTGTAGGCATTTTGAGAAAAACTTGTTATGGTGATATTGAGATGAAAGTAATCTTGAAACTCTTCAGAAGTACACATGTAAGAAGTAAGGAATCCAGTAATAACTGTACATGTGAACTAGATGTCACTTCAGATGATGATAACATGATGTTGGTCATCACAGATGTTGCAAGTCTCAGTCATCTTAAAGAAACTTTGAAGATTTATCAGATGCCAGTGAAAAGCAAAGGTAAATTTTACTGATTACTGATAAATACCACTTAGCATTTGTCAAACCCTGCAGCTTTAAAAGAAATGCTTTTTATTTCCTCCAGCTACTCCTGATTTTGGTAACATGCTTTTATCTCTTGATCTACGTATGAAATTTCCTTCTATAGAGAGGACCAGTACAAGTCTTTTGCCCCATTAATACTTAGTCTCCAATATACTTAGAAGTTTTGCAGATATTTTTACTGGAAGATGTTTATAAGCCAAGAGAAACGCCTGAGTGTTCAAAAAAGACTGTAACCTGTCTTTCATTAAATTGTTCCATAAAACGTTCAAAGCTATACTAAATCTTTTTCTGTATATTTTGCTTATTAGGAAATTTCCTCCTTTTGAGTGACACGATACCAAGTTATAAAATGTACCCTCTACTTGTTTTCTTTCGTTACCCATTGGCTCAGTGTGGTTGCTGCAATCATTGCTTTCTTTGTGTCAGATCTGGGTATTGATTTTTCAGTTACCTGTTGCTGTGTAACCCTGATTTCATTTTTCTGATCTTCACCTCTTTATCATCTTGCCTCATGATGCTTCTGCTAAGAAATAATTCTTTTTACAATATTATGTTTTATTGCCAGTGTGGTAGTTTGAGTTTACACTGGTTCTTCCTCTAGACCAGCTTGCTCACAGCTCCAGACAGCCAGCAGCAGAACTCTGCTGAGATCTGTGGAACTCTTTATGTTTAATCAAACACTGACGATGGGCACCAGGCTCCTCTCCATTCCCAAATTCCTCATGTCCTTACGTAATATTCTGATCAAAAAGAAAGCATAAGAATAGCAAAAAGAGAATTGCTCACATTCCTTATAACAAATAAAACTTATGAATTAGAGGTGCATACCCGGCCACGGTGGATATATAAAGTAGGTCTCTATAGCTGCAGTGTGTTTGGTAGGAAATGAAGACAGGTATCAGACTGCAGTGTGTGATCCTTTGGCAACATTCAGGTGACAGAAGCCAGAAGGAAAGTATTGGGATTTGCAAGTGCATGGGCAGTTCTACTATTGGGACAGCACAATTGTGTGTGGGTTTTTTCACACAGGCTCTATTTTAAATGATACTGAATTCGCAGAGATGAGTAAGAGTTCCTTATCATGTGACTTTCTGCTAAAATATGAAAATTAAGTTTTGAATTGTGAAGTGCATCCTAGGATCTCTTAACTTCTTTAGAATATCTCCTGGTGCTGATGTGAAGCATTTCTTTCTTTCTTTCTGAAAGGCACGAATGCCAGTTTATCCTTAAATGCGGTTTGGAATGAGAAGGAATATTCTCTGACAAGTTACTTACAGTGCAGGAACTGCCTCGTCCAGTCAATGTCTCCGTGCCCTTTGATAGGAGCTGAGGTTATTCATTTCAGCAATAAAGCACAGTCATGGGTAAGTAAACTGGTTTATTTTGTACACTAGAATGGTTACTGAGTGACTGTAAATATTAAAATACAATTTCTTTTAAAGATAGAATGAAAATTTTACCTAGATTGATTATGTATTATTCATCTGATTTCTACTACAGAGATTTGAAATTATTTTCTATATTAAAAACTGTATTCAGATACCTTAATACATTTTTCATTATTTACATCTAATTTGATGCAATGTCTGTGGTATTATGCTTTATGAAGAGGGATAGGAAAAGAGGCAGCAGCTATCCATGTCTTTCATGAAGGGAAAATCAGAACAAAGCATCAGACACAAAAATATTAATCAGACCCTGAATAATTAACATGGGTAAGGTCTAAAGGAGTCAACAGGACAAAAATTATACGTATTGTGTTTCCAGTAAGGTTAGCAAACACTGTTAGCAAAGTCAATAGAACTCTTTGAAATCTAGATGAGAAAGGTATGTATGCTTTATTGTACATTTAATAAAGCTTTGCTTTAAGGTAAAGAACGGGATTCATCGTGAATGAACTTTGCAAATAACCTCAGGATACCTATCTCCTGAATTTTCCTCCATTTCTACTGCGGGTAGAAAGATAATTGAATTTAATTTGTGATAGAGAATCAAATTTAATTCCACTTTGATGTTTTTCAATACTAGCTGTGCAAACTGAACCATGTCAGCAGTTTCATTCATGCAGCTCTCTGTGTAGGCAATTGAAGGGGGACGGGGCTCCCTTCCTACCAGATGCAGCAGGTACAAATGTGTAATCAGCTGGTATTGGGTTTACAAGTACTTTTGCTTTTGCTGGTCTAACATAAACAAGTGTTGTGCTCTTTGCCTACCTGCAGCTCCTGACTTCTTCTGTTTCTTTACCTAGAAAGATGTGGTTAATTGTTATGTTTCCTGAATATGTCTCTTTCTCTTTTCTTATGTTCTGTTTCTGTCCAGTGGAAAGAAATCTTGGTAAGCTCTTAGGCTAGGGAAGAGCAACACAGGCTAAAAAAGACCACATCTGGCTTTAGGGAGTCATTCTGCAAGCTGGTGGCTTTCAGTAGAAACATATCTAATCTCTTAATGCACGTCTTTGTTTCAAAGAGACTCGAGGGAAAAAAAGATCCCATTATCTTCAATAGACCCGTAAAACAATTGTCAGAACTGACATCTCTCTTTTGGATCTGTTGCAAACTGTATGTGCCATGACTAGATTTATATGGCAGATGACTTGAATGTGAGAGTTGTGGAGAAGCCACTCTTCTTTTTTTCTCTGGTAAAAGTAATGTTCCTTATTTAGAAAGGTGGAATGGGCTGGCAATGAATGATGTTAGAGGTAAATACAGCTTTAATTCTATCATCTCCTTGCTTTAAATCAAGTGGCTGTTTTTCCTTAATTGGGAGTATGTGAATGTAAATGAAGACATGTAGAACGAGTAAAGGGAGTATAAAATTATGATTTGTTATATGCTGCCATATGCCAGAACAAACACACATGCATTAAATGAAGAAGTGTGATCGAGTCAGTTTTAGCTCCCAGTTGTGTATCGTTGAATACCAGATCCTGCTGTTATTGAGCAATATATTGGTAGTGAAATTAACGTTGTAGTCTGTAGTGCTGCCTACCCTATGTTAAATCATGTTTGTTGTCACGAGGTATCGTAAGTCATCTTAAAGTACTTTCTGTCATGTGCTCTCTGTAAATCAAGTACAGTTAGGTCTGGAAGATGGGGAATTATTCGTTTAGTAGAAATCATGTAGCAAAACAAGCTTAATGTAGAATCACTGGGTTTGATATCTGTGATTTACTTCTAGGGTTGGTAACCCACTAGATGTAATGCTGTATTTTCAGGAGTTAAATTGCAGGTGTGATTATCAAATTAAATTTTGGTAAATCTTTTTTTGAGAACCTACTTTCTTATATATAAATTACACATTTATGCTGAAAATAAGATTTTTAGATTTGCTGTTATGTTTCTACAAATTCAATTACATCACATGCTAGCTGCTGACCTAGAAACCTCCATTAGGTTATTCAGGCTTTATGTGACATCAATGGCATATAAGTTCATACTGTTATTTATGTTCCTTAGATGGCTCTAAATAATTGTGTATTCATGTTTGTGGTCTTTGTGCAACTAGAACAACTTGGTAGATGACAGCACTTAGAAGCAGGATGCTTTAAGAGGGAGCCGAGCTGATATAATTCTTCTCTATGTGAAAAGGTGAAGGAAACTTTGACGATTAAGTTTTTAAACTTATTAAGGAGTTGTTGCTATCACTGATTAGACAGTCAGCTGTTGAGGCAGTAGCTTTTATATAACAGGATATTGTTTTGCTCATCATGTTACCACATTTGGCAAACTTTTATCTTAATGCGCCTATCGGGAATACCAGTCTGACCTCAATCTGAGTAAAGCCTTAATAGTCGACGTGAGGGATGCTTGCAGGAGGTGGCGCGGTCATTTTCGCAGACTGTATATTTGTTATCGCATGTTAATCAGATTCATCATTCTGTTTAATAAAGATTTCATCTGCCACGCGAATGCATAATCGGCTATGTCTGAGTGACCGTCTTTTGTCTTGAGCAGATTGCTAAAACTGTATTAAGCATCATTAGACAAAAATGACGACCTTATTAATTTGTCCTTTATGTGTTTTCCAGCAGATTGGACCTCATTATTATGCAAACACAGTACACAGAGCGGCACCAGAAGTAGCTCATTAATGTTTCTTTCCCCTTAGTATGTAACAGATTATTATTGTGAAGTGTGCATGAAATAATTGCTAATTATGCGCCTTAAATGGTACAGTGATTGTCTAGATTTTTTTATCCAGAGTTCTGTGGAAGACCATCAGAAGCTACAGGTTAGCAGCACTGAAGCAAGTAAACCAGAGGAAGTGAATCACAAAACATGCGTTTTATCACACGTTTTCCTGCCTGTAAGGAGCAATTAGGACAGCTATGGATAGGTTTTGCTTATGCTATTTCATACTGCATAAGAAAGTACTGTCAGCTGGCCTAAGGTATAAGGTATGTTAGTAGGTATGTCAGCCAGTGAATATATGCAGATAGGCTTGAACAGTTGAGTTACAGTAAAATAAAAACGGTGTCAATTCTTTAATGGTAATTCTTCAGTGAGCATGGTTCCCTTATACACCATTAAAAGCTCCCATTTCCCAATACTGCTTCTTCTACCTTATGTTCTCCCAGTCGTTGCGTTTATTACAGGCTCTCTTTTCAGTATAATTCTCCTTAAGATTCATAAGCATTATAGAAATTAAATGTTAGGATTTGGCATTTGTCTGTAGTTTGACAACTTTGTGCTAAGTGTGTAATTGGTTTAAGCTGGTGGTGCTTCGTACTTATCCGTGGCACATCTTCTGTAATCTGTCTGCCACCATAGCTGATAAGACTTGGCCACAACTGAAGTTTTTGCAGCGCTGGAAATAAAACCCTGATCTATTAAGGGTTTGTGTGGGTTTAGCTTTATAATCTGGTTTAGAAATTGTGAGTAGTCAGATTGCAGCTGCAAGACTTGTTGTCAAAAAAGCATCATGAAAACAATTACAACAGCTTATGCTTTCTTAGCCTGTTGTTGACAATCTAACCTAAATGCAGTGAGTATTTCTGAAGAAAAGCATTCCTAGCTGGCAATTATTTATTACATTTGAGCAACGAAAAAGGTATCTCTGAGAGTCAGGAGGATACCACTCATCCAACATTACTTACATTAAATATTTTGGAGTCTTAACTGTATTTGGCTAGTCTTGAACAGTCGCTGATGTCAGCTGGCACTATTTCAGTGTGATGGTTGCTGCAAACAGAGCTAAAATAAATGGGGCAGGTTAGTCAGAAGTTATTTTTTAAACATCTCATGTTTAATGGATCATTACTGAATATTTATGAGGGACAGATATCTTCCAAAAAATAAAAATGGAAGTTTTTAATGCAGACACCAATTTCTTTTTTACTGCACTGTTGTTCGCTCTTGGGCATATGGCTGAAAGAAACCTTGGATCCGCCGTATTTTTTTATTTTCATTTTACCAAAAATGCATTCATTTCTGCTGCTTCTGTCTTCTCTCTGTTGTCTTTGCTGTTTTCATATGGCACTAAAGCTTGAATTTTATGGAACGCATTGAAAAAAGTACTTGCAGGATGCTCCTACCTTCTCATTTAAAGAATGCTTGCAGCCTTTTTGTGAATATTGTTAAAGCTGTTGGACGTACCTTATTAAAGAAGAAGAAATGGGTTTATGGCTCTGGAAATAAGGGTAAATGATGTCTTATCAAATGTCTTTATAGATACATGTGTGTGCCATGTTGTCATTGCAAAGTCTTCCTTGTATTTACTATCGTATCCATGCTTCCATTATTCTTTGATAAGCCTGAAAGCTCTATGTATCAAGGACTGATTATATTATTGTTTACTGAGTTATTTGAGGGCTATATTTAAGTGAAACTAAATCCTCATTAGTGAGAAACATGTCAGGCGCTGAGTGCCACCTTACAGTTGTTTGTGCTTTTGTTGTCTTCAAAGACTTAAATTTTCCTCCGCCCCATGAATTACAGTACCAGATACTTAACAGCTGGCAGATGAATATTACCATCTTGCCATGCTGGCAAGAAGAGAGAACTCTTGAGTAACTTCTAATCAGATAAGGATGGCTGCAGAAGGGGCCTTACAAAGCACAGGGACAGAACCAACTTCTTAGGTCACCAAGTCCATTTCTTCTTCCAGGTTTTATCATGGTACAATTTATGGTGGTCAGCCAAGTTGATTTACACTCCAGAAGTACCGTTTCTTCAGCTTCTGTAAATGTCTTCATGTGTGTAAGGAGTCTTTATGAGGGTAAATAAGGAGATATCAGTAAATGCAGTGATATGTTTTCTTTCCCATTTTTCTTTGTTGTCTGGGTTAGAGGCATGAAGTTGTGTATGCCTCTTTAAGGACTGCAGGATGATTTCACAGCATCCCATACAACATGCTTTACCTGAGG